CTCTACAGCATGAGCTCCATGAGAACTGGGACCTCAGCCTTACCTCTAGTACCTGGCACTCGGTCATTTTTGATTCAAGACAGCCATAATGAATGAGAGGAGTAGATGCTTGGAAATCAAGATGCTTCTTATAATCTCCTGGTGGTTGCCTTATTCCCATGGGGGCTGGGTCCAAGGGTTACCCCAGGTGATTCTGCCACTTATTTCCTTCTTTCTACTCACAAAATGACCCTCCTTTCCTGGGCCAGATATAGTCACTGAAGTTTGATCTGTCCTTCCTGTATCTTCAAGGAAAGGGAATATAGCTGCAAAGTTCTGCTAGTCCCCCTTCCCCTTTTCCTCTGGCTGGGGGAGGACCTGGGGCTCCAAAGATTACCTCAGTACCAGTTGCTTCCAGGAGCAGGAAGGAAAATTGTTTACAGGTTCATAAGTTTTATTATCAAGTGGAAAGGAAACTCCCACATGTCTAGAAGATCTGGGTTTGCAGCCAAAATCGGGCTTGCTTGGGCTTGGGATTGTAGTTGCCTGAGATAGGGCCCTGAGAAGAGAAGGCAGCAGACAATCATGCCCATTGACTTTAATGTTTCTTCTTCCTTCCTTCCGTTCTCTCTCTCTCTCTCTCTTCCTTCCTTCCTTTCCTGAAAATCAGTTTATTGATAACCTACAGTTCAAGTGTGATAAAATGAAATTAAAGGGTTTTATAGAGCTATAGTCCAATAGTATTGCATGTGATAATGGTTTCCTGCTTATTTTTAAATTTATTTATTTACATTTAATATTATTTTGTATTCATTTCAGGAGTATAGCATAGTAGTTAGACAATCATATATTTTACAAAGTATTTCCCCCATATTTCCAGCACCCACCTGACATCATACAATATTATTATATTATTGACTATATTCCCTATGCTGTACTTCACATCCCTGTGACTATTCTGCAACTGCCAATCTGTACTTCTTAATCCCTTTACCTTCTTCACCCAGTCCCCCAACCCCTTCCCCTCTGGCAACCATTAGTCTGTTGTCTGTTGCTATGAGTCTATTTCTGTTTTGTTTGCTCATTAATTTTGTTCTTTGGGTTACACATATAAGTGAAATCATATGCTATTTGTGTTTCTCTAAGTGACTTATTTCACTTAGTATAATGCCTTCTAGGTCCATCCATGCTATCACAAATGGTAAGATTTTATTCATTTTTATGGCCAAGTATTATTTCATTGCATATATGTATCCCAATTTTTTATCTACTTATTTTCATACCCATTGGCTTTGAATGCCTTCTTCCAAGGAATGCCAATATAAGAAAGTGAGGAAAGCAGGACTGGTCTGGTAGAAAAGAGGCTAGAGTCTTCCCTGAAGTCCAGGTAGCTCCAACATATCTTCCTGAAACCATGAAACAGATTTTGAAACAGTATTTTAGCCCAAACTCCCATGTGAAGATGGGGATCTGAGGCTCAGAGCAGAAGAAGCAAATTGCCTAAGATGACATGGTTAGTACTCACTCCCACGTGTACTAACCCTGGGCCTGGATCCCTGCCACCTCCCACTGCTGCTTGTAAGGGAGGTGGGAATAGGTAGCACACAGACCACCAGACCTCAACCTAGTCAAGAATCTGAGTAGAGTGCATGGCTGATTAAATAGCTGGAAGAGGCCAGTGGTGAGAAGGCATTGGTGGAGGCACGTTGTGTGGCAGACAGAGAGACAGACTAAAGACAAGGGCAGACAGGCAGATAGGAAAGTAACATCTGCCTGTGCTTCACACCTGCTCTGTGGGGGGCTGGATCCTTTCTAGATTTCAACACAAAATTGGATGCAATTAACTGTGTTTGTTTGGTCCTAAGTGGAGGCTCTGTGTTCACTATCACCTCCAGGGAAAATGATGACATGTTTTCTTTAGAGATGCTTAACTTGAAGAGGGTGAGAGCCTTTGCCCCCCATCCTTTCCTGTTAATAAAACAGCTCTTATTTTAAGAAAGATCCAAGCTCTTTAGTACACAGGTCACAGGAAAGGAACAAAGAAGTGAAATAAACATATGAAAAATTGTTCAGGTTTATTCATAATCAAAGAAATATAAATTAAGGCAACAATGCAATAGATATCATTTTCACCCATTATAATGATGCCTTTTAGAAAGTTTCATAATACAGTATCTTGATAAGGCTGTGAAGAAACTAGCACTTTCTTCCCCTTGGTGAGATCCCACTTGGTAAGCCTCTTCAGAGGAGACACTGGTAATATCAGTCAAAATTGTCAAAACATGTATCCTAGGACCCCACAATACCTCTTCTAGGAACCTGCTCTACAAAAACATTTACCCATGTGTGTTGAAGCATGGCCAAGTAATGCTTACTGCAACATTGTTCAAAATAAAAGTTAAAAGCCCTAGATACCCAAAATGTCCATGAGCAGGTCAATAAACATGGAAAAATACTGTGCTATGTTTAAAAGACTGAGCTACATTTGTTCTGACATGGGAGATTCCCCAGGGCACACAGTTCACTTTAAAAAGTAAGTTGTAGAATAGAACGAATCTCAAATGTGTGATCTCATTTGTGTAAAATACTGCAAACATATACACATGTTTCTAAGCCAGATGTTCTCTAGGCTCCTCCCTCCCCAGAAATGTATATGTAATCTTCTGAGGGAAGAGTTTTGGGTCTCATGGCCTTTTCCTCTGGGAGCCTTCCACTGGGGGCTAGGTCTTTGCAGCCCATCACTTACACTTGGCTATGGGCCATCTTCTTGGTTCTCATAAAGTTTGCAAATCTCTCTGTACCCAGGGATGCTTTAGTCCTTCATGTCCCTGAGGCCAACATATCAGGCAGTGAGGGATTTTCAGAGTGTTTGAAATGAGAGTTTGGGGGAAATTTCGGGAGAATTTATGATTGAGGGAAAGGTTTAGCATGCTAGAGAGACATATTAAGGGACAAGTCCAACCCCCTTCCTCTGCCTACCCTTAAAGAAGCCACATATCCTCTGCACTGTCTGGGCAGATAATCTGTGGCAGTTCACCTCTTATGTCCATGATCTTCTCCAACCCAAATCTTCCCCATAAAGAAGGACTGAGAAAGAAACAGCATGCAAATTTTGTTGTCTATCACCCAACCATCTTTGGTTCCCAAGGTGAAATGCCAGAATTTCTGCATGGTATTGGGAGATTGGCGGGGAAGTCTCTCCATCCATTTTGTTTGGCTTTAGGTAGTGAGTTCCTTTGCCACCAGGGGATAGTGCCTCTGCATGCACCTGGCCTAGTGCACCAGTGCTCAAGAATCCCCAAATGGTTAAGGCCAGTTGACAGTCCGAGGATAATCTGATCTGAGGTTACTAATGCAAAGCCCTGCCTACGCCTGTCTGCACTATTTTGACTCTGCTGATTGAGTGCTTTTCCAATCCAGCTACCCTACAGGGAAAGTATTGTTAGCTCTATCATCCAATGGAGAGACTGAGGCCCCAAGAAAGGAAAGGTTAAATTGAGGGCATAGGGTTGCTAGATGAAATATAAGATATCCAGTTTAATATGAATGTCAAGTAAACCATGAATAATTTTTAGTGCAAGTATGTCCTAAATGTTGCATGGAGCATACTTACACTAAACAATTATTTGAAATTATTTTTTGTTTATTTGAAAAATTCAATTGGCATCCTGTATTTTTATTTCATCAGTGTGGTAACCCTGGTCTGGGAGAAACCACTGGCTCCTGCTTCTCAAGCTCCTGAGTCCCACAGAGCACACTTCTTTGCCCCTAAAGTGCCCTCCAGAAAGCTCAGATTTCATGGCAGATGCTTTGCTGCAGCTGGGAAGGGCTTCTTCAGGGCCCTAAGCAATGCAGTCAGGGCCTGTGTCAGCTCTGCTCCAGAGAGCTTGGTCCCAGAGCTGGACAAGTGGGGCCAGGGAGGGGGACAGGCAACCAGAATTACACCACCTTCTCTAAAGAAGTCCTGGTCCCTCCCTTTCTTCTCTTTTGCCTTTTCCTTCCTCTGTTCATTCTTCTCTGTCCCCTATTTCTTTCCCTCGGACCTGCCCCCAGCTGTGCTTCTTTCCTATTACAAAAAGCCTCCTCTTCCCCTAGGGGCACTGGGGCTGTTACTAAGAGCTGAGGGTTCCCAAGGGTTGGTCCATACAACCTTTGGTGGTCGTATCAGTCAGGGTTCTTCAGGGAAAAGGAACCAATAAGATGGATGGATAAACATGCATATGTGTATGTATATAGATTTAGTTTAAGGAATTGGCTCATGCCATTGTGCAGCTAGGCAAAGCCAAAGTTTGTGGGGCAGGCCAGCAGTCTGGAATCTTAAGCAGGGGTTGATGCTGCAGTCTTGAGACAGAATTTCTTATCTGGGTAATCTCTTAGGGTCTGCAAACTGATTGACTGAGGCCCACCCACATTATTGAGGTGGTCTTCTTTAGTTAAAGTTCACTGGTTGCAAATACTGACCACAGCCACAAGATACCTTCACAACAACACCCAGACTAGTGTCTGATGGAATGACTGGGAACTGTAGGCTTGTCAAGTGGCCACGTAAACCTCAGAGTGGTCTAATCAGTAGGCAAGTTCAGGAAGAACTTAGACTTAGATCAGAGGGTGCAGGGCCTGGGGACCCTAGAGGTTCTAGTGTTGATAGGCAGATCTCTCCTTTCCTGTTCTTCCTTCCTTTGGTTCTCATTGTTCCTTCACAGACTGACTCAGGGCTTCTAAAGGCCACCTCTTCTGCCTGGGAACTCTGGAATGGAGGAGGCAAGATATAGTTTGCAAAGGATGCATTTGGAGGATGGTTCTATTCAGAGCTGGGCTTGCAGGAGCCACAGCAGGCCTGGGATCGCTCTGATTTGGTCACTGACTGACTCTGGGGTCCTGTGTTAGTCTCTGTCTCTCTCTAGAAATGATGGAGGGTGGGCCCACATGCACCCCAATGGGGCCAAATCAGATGATCTGGTAGCCAGAGTTCTAAAAGGCAAGGATTCTGACTCTCATCTCCTCTCCTATGTTGCTTACAGAGTAGCAGAGGAGAAGGCCGCGAACCTTGCCAACAAGATACAGCAGGAACAGAAGGTGCTGGTCCAAGGCATAAGTCCAAGTGGGAGTCTGGCTCCACCCTCATGACAGGTTATATTAACCTTGAGTTCTGACCTCTCAAAGGGCTGATTTTCTGAGTGCTTTCCTCTCTGCTTTGCTTCCCGTGCATCTTTGGCCACAACTTACAAGTGAACAACTGGTTGTGATGGCAGGAGTCTTCCCTGGCACCAAGGAGGAGACAGAAATGTTCATGCCTGAAGACTTGCTTCCTGGAAGCCATGGGCAAAGTCAAGAGCACCTGGTGATAGCAGGTGAGGATCCCCAGAAACATCGTTTTCCTTGAGTGTGTGTGTCTGTGTACATGTGTTGGAGAAAGTGTGTGAGAGGGTGGACAGACACTCATATATATGTGTGTATGTATTAGAATGCACGTATGGGTTATGTGTGATTGTTTGTGCCTTTGTTTGCAAATACATGTATTTGTGGCTTGAGTGACGGGAAGCTGAAGTGAAAGGGATTGATATGAACATTTTGTAGCCCATGAGGGAGGAGGGTGAGACCAATATGTGTGGTCCCTTGGTCTCCCCTTCATCCAAGTCACCACTGTGTGTATTGCAAAACATTCAGAGGGCTTAATTTATAAGATCAGTCAGATCAATTCTCTCTTTTAACCCTGGCCTTCTGCTGCCCTTTAGAGTGAAATCTAAACTCTTACCTTGTCTACACGATCTGATCAAGATCTCCTCCTCTATATATTTCGTGTCATGACATGGTGACCCACACTCCATGCTGAATTTATGTTTGTCCTTATAACACCCCAAGACTGGCTCTTCCCCACAGCCTTTGTGCAAGCTGTTCCCTCTGCCGGGAATGCCATTTCCCTAGATTTTCCATGGCTAGACTCTTTTTCTTGTTCAGGTCTCTGCCTCAATGTTGTTTCTGACTTTTCTAGAAGTGGCCCCTTCCTTCTGTCATGTTGCCCTGTGTTTATAATTTTGGAAACATGTCTCTTGATTTGAATTTACAATGATGGATTGTTTTCTGTTTTTCCCTTTTATACACCCTGTCAGTTTCTTGATTGCTGCAATTTTATCTATTGGTCATTGTTCTGTTCCCAGTAACTTAGCACAGAGCTTGGCCCTCATTTAATACTTGCTAATCTTTTGAACATATGAACAAACTGAGGCCTTGGATTGGCAGCAGTTAAGAGCAGTGAATGGGTATTGAGTTATTCATAAGACGTTTGGGGACCCAATCTCTTTCTGGTGTGTCCTGTGCCCAGGAAACCTTGTTAAAGCCTTTATGGATGTTCCTGGGGCCTTTGTTCTTCTCCCCAGAAATAACAGAGCATGGATCCCGGTCCCTGGGTGTCTCTCCACGGCAACAAAAGTTGGGTTCAAAAGCTCCTGGCTCTGCTGCAGGCCAACCAGTTTGGAATATGACTGCCACTCGACCCAAGAAGGTGATATTTTATGGGGCCCTTGGCATGTGGTGGCTGGGTTGGGGTTGGGAGTACTGGCTGTAGGGGCTCCAGCCTGATGATAGTGAAATATTGACTTGAGGGGGGAGGAAGAAGCAGACAAATGAGGCCAGAGATGTCCAGCAAGAGGTCAGAGCCATCCTTTGGTAGACTAGGAGTTTAACCTTGAGAGTCCACAATGACTGAAGCACATTCCTTGAGGAGTACGTATATACTTTATTCTGCAAAACTCTAGTGTGTGTGAATGATGCTTCCCTTTATTAAAAATAAATAACTATATATTGCTCTCTACATATCTAAATATTCCTATATCTCAATATTTATATTTTATACATTATATATAAATATATTTCTACATATAAATATACATATTTTAAACCACAATTGTATTTAAATAAAAATATATATCAGGGCTGGAACAATGATAAGGCAAGTGTTGTTCCTATACTTCCTGGGTGTTAGGAAGTCCAGTCAATGGAATCTGACAATTGTGTAGCCAATCCTTTAAGCTACATTCACCAGGGTGAGGGAGTATTTGAGGAAAAAAAACAGTGGCCATATTGTAGAAAAGATGCTGGGAAAAGGCTGCTGATTTGGAATGGAGAAAGACCTGTTTGTTGTAGGAAATCACTTGAGCCCAATACTTCTGTAGCAAATTTTGTTAGCTACATTTGTGGGTGAGAGCAAGTTAGAAAAATGGTTGTTATATTATTGCAAAGGTTACTATGGAGAGGCAACAAGGTTGGAGAGCAAGAAGACCTGACTGTTCTAGGGAGTGGATTAAGATAAATGCTGAAATGATTCCAGGGTTCCCCGGTCAGGGACTTCCTGGGAATGAAAATAAGCCAGAAATATTGAATGGGTATCCCATGTCCGTCCAAATGCTGAAGCCCAAATTAAGCTGCTCCAACAGGCCAGGCTCCATCTAGGAAGCCACTGAGGACCCTAAAACTGAGCGAGTGGTGGGAGTGGTTCAACCCCTGGATTAATTAAGGTTACCTGTTAGGAACAGAGAATTACACTTAAAAAATAATTATTATATGAACCTTAGACGCAAATTTAGACATTTAGAATTAAGAATTTTATCAATTCTATTTATTTATCCATTATTTTGGAGTAAAAAATGGAACTGTTACTGCCTCTGGAGAACCACAACATGAAAAGACAAACATATAATGATAGTATTCTGCTGATTTGGGAGAAATATGTGATATGCCTTAAACAGTACATGAAAATAAAAATAACACTTTTAAAATTACTTAACAGCAGGGCCCTGGCTCGTGTGTCTCAGTGGATTGTGCACCGGCCTGCAAACCAAAGGGTCGCTGGTTCAATTCCCAATTAGGGCACATGCCTGGGTTGCTGGCTAGGTCCCCAGTAGGGGGTGTGTGAGAGGCAACCACACATTGATGTTTTTCTCCCTCTCTTTCTCTTCCCTTCCTGCTTAGACTACCTGCAGTTCATCAATTTTACTAATATAAAGCTCTTGTGCTTTATAATGTATATAATTCTAAATAGAGGGTTTCTAAAATTAAAAACCAAAAAATAAAGACAATTATTATTTTTTAATTAATTTTATTTATTTACCTTTAGAGGGGAAGGGAAGGAGAGAGGGAGAGAAACATCAATGTATGGTTGCCCTTTGCACATCCCCTGCTGGGAACTGGCCTGCAGGGAACCGGCCTGCAACCCAGGCATGTGCCCTGACTGGGAATCGAACCGCGATTGCCTGGTTCGCAGGCTAAAGAAAATTATTTTTGAAATTAGACCTATATTATGACAGGTGATGACAATAAATTATCATTGAATTGTAGATGTTGTTAAATTAATTCTTATTACATTGATGTTACAACAAACTACATTATCACAACAAAACAAACTCCAGTCACTCACCCTTATTTGCCTTCAAATTTCTCAAAAAACTTTGTCTTTCTAATGTCAATCTTTAGGAAAATCAAGGTGATGGTGTGGAAATTGTTCCAGGAGATATTATCCATCAATTTTCCTCTTTATAGTCCTGGGGTCTTCTTGACACGCACTGTCCTTTTAATGCTATTTTTGAGGGTTTTTTTTTTTAAAGTGAAAGAAGAAAATAAAATAGTGTGACTTGGTACTGTTCCCCAAAAAAAGAAAAAAAAAAGGAAAGAAAAGAAAAAAGAAATTCACACCAGTATCTGTGTGCACTTTTGAGAAAAGAAAAATTTGCATTATTACAGAAAATAATGCAAAATTACAACCAAGGCACTGCCAGGTGGGGCCCTCCTCAGCTGCTCTCCATCTACTTCTGAGTCACATTGAGGCTTGCTTCACTTACCTTTGCCTTCCTTATTGGCACTTCCTGAACTCTACAATCTTGCTGAGCTCTTTCATTCTACCATTGCCTCTACCATTATCTTCCTTCTTGTGGGCTTATATCATTTTACTGTCTTCACTCTTTTCTAAATGGAGTCTTAAGGGGAAGCAGTGTCAAGTATGAAGGTTATCACAGTGTAATAGTTAAGAGTAAAACCTCTGAAACAAAATGTTCTGGATTCAAAATACTGTTTTGCTTCTTACTAGTTACATGATATAGACAAGTTATTTGGTCTCTCTGTGTCTCAGTTTTCCAATCTTTCAGAATGAAGTGATAATAATACCTGTGTCAAAGGGTCATGATTAGGATTTAATGACTTAATATTGGTAAGAGTTCAGAGGATGACATAGTCCCTGGCATGTTGTAAGTGTGTGTTAAACAAGAATCTTACGAGATATTTCATCTTGCACTGGAAACCCAAAGCTGAAATTCAAACCCAGGTGGGTCATTCATGTTCTGCTCCTCTAGCTCACACTGACTCTTTAATTCACGAAATACTTCTGGTCCCAAAGCTCTGGGCCAGAGACATCCACTGCAGACAGGCATTAGCATACAGAGAGAAATGAAAGACATAGGGATGGCTGGGCCCACCCAGAGAAGGACAAGGAGGCTGTGGTTTCCTAGTAGTTAGACTTCTATCCCAGGTTCTGTGACATCTACCATGTATCCTTGGGAAGTATAGTCAGCTCTCCAGGAGTCAATTTCTTTGGCTCTAAAACTGAGATTTTTCCATTCTTCATTAGTGGGTGCAGAGAGTCAGCTGATGTCTGTATGTGGCAGTGCCGGCACAGGATAGGGATCCCTATCACTGCTTTTCCATTGCTGCAGCCTAGATGACCAGGAGCTACTGAGGATCATGGTGTGGGTGGGGTGGTGGCAGGCAGCCAACTTGTGAGGTTCCCAGGCTCCCCTAATGGTCCAAAGCTTCCAGCCTGATTCTGGAGGATCAGACACCACATGACTCTTGGGGAGAGGTATACCACTAGTCCTGGGCAAAGTATGGGACAGCCAAATATCTCAACTAGGGATGAGAAAGTTACTTTGACCATTCCTTTACTTAGGGTACTCAGCTGCCAATGCCCAGAATATCAAGAGAACCAGTCCATGGGGATGTTCATCCCCAGGAACATCCTGGTGGCTTCCAAGGCATGAGATTCCATTATGAGCGGTAAGATGGGTCCTAGAAACTCTCCAAGAGGAAAGGAGCTTTATGGCCAGGGATCAGGGTGGGCCAGAGGGTCTGGTAAGCAGATTGACAAGGGGAAGCTGGCCATGATTTTTGGGGACCTGTTGCCTCCTCTCTGCAGTCCCTGCCCCTCCTGGCCCCTTGCCCATTTTAGTTCTCTCAGTTTTCCACAGCTGGGCTGGGCTGGCTCTCAGGACCCACTTAACAAGTTAGGGAAGGGCTGGAGGTTGACAGAGGTCCCTGCCCAAAGAGGCCCCTGACCTTACACATTTTCCCTTATGGCCTTCCTGTGCTTCCTGTCGGGTCTGACCTGGGACAACCAGCAACTGTGACTCACTGTCTTTTCTGATGTCCCAGCAACTCAGAAGCAGATATAATTGCAGAGATGGGCCCAAAAGAACCAAATGGACTGGAGATGGAACTCATGAGAAGACAGGTGAGTGTCTGCTTTGCTGAGGACTCACTTGGAGGGTAAAGGCAGAATCATGGTGTTTTCAGAGCAGATGGGCCACAACAGTGCTAAATCTATCCTCCTTAAAGTTGCACAGTCAGTCCACTCATCTTATCCTTAAGCATCTATAGTGAGGTCAGGCTCACTACCCCTACCTCTTAATCCCCATGTCTGTGGAGTCCCATCTTGCTGTCCAGCCTTAAGGCTGCCTCTCTCCAAAAATATGGGAAAGAAATAGGGGAAGAGAAAAGGATGACTAGGAGGAAATATAAGAGGATGGAGGCATCTATGCAGAGAGTGGCTCTGAGGTCTGATAGAGGGGTCCTCTTGGGTGGGCAGAGTGTAGCAACCATGAGCATGGATGTGGGCATGGAGAGCTATTGGCCTGGTGGCCCCCTCTGCAGCAGGTTCCCCTATGCCAGCCCTCTCCAGGATTAAAATGCCCCTCCCCACTTCACAGCTGGGAAAGGCTGGCTTCATCCAGACAACCTAATGCACTCAGAGGAAGGTGCAAGGCAGCTCGGCTTGTCCACACAGGCAGTCCAGCACACTCCAAGCCTGTAGTCTCAGCTGCTTCTTACCCAGAGGCCCTTTGGCCTCCCAAAAGGCAGCAAAGCCTCTTCCTGTTCTAACTTCATACTTTTTCCCACTGGTGGACTGTGGGCTTCCACAGAACAGCCTTGCTCACCAGCCTGCTCTTGGTCTCTCTGCAGCTGCGTGAGATCAATGGGCGTCTCTGTGCCTTGGAGGACCAGGCAGCCATCAGTCGCCAGAGAGAAGCTGTGTTCCTCACCATGGTATTGTCAGCCTGTATTGCCAACCTGTGGCTGTGGATGCGCCAGTGATGCTTCACCTGCCATCCTGCTGAAAGAGCTCTCTCCTCTTCTTTTCTTTTCTTCCTTTGGACCACCCTTTTTCTTCCTCCTTCTGTTTCCCAGCAAGCAACCAGCAGCTGCAGGGCCATTTTCCAACTCTGGTTGGATCCCCTGCTGTGGAAGGCCTTAGCTGCTGGAGAGGTTCAGAAAGATCTGAATGGGCCGAGATGCAGCCCTTTGGAGGTTGAGGAGTGTGGCATATGGTCTTCACAGTAACATCAGTGTCAAGTACTTCCTGCCTGTCCATCAGGACTCCATGGTGACCATCTCATCTCTTCTGTTCCATCCTATATGGCAGGGTCTTGGCTGTATCTTCCTGTTTTCTTCCATGTTGTGCACAGAGCTCTGCACAGAGAAAATGCTCAATAAAGGTTCCCTGATAGCAGCAAACCCTGGCAGCTGAGCTTCTTGAATCCATGACTCATGTGGGGCTCTGATTTCCTCTCCCTTCTCTGTGCCACTGTCCACCCCCCAGGCAGTGGTCTCCTTAAAAGCAAAGCTTGCAGGCTCTTCCTGTTGGGATCAGGCCAGCAAGTGCCTGTGGGGAAGTGTTTCTGCAGTAGCTTGTCCAGGCCATGTATTGCAGAGATTCAATCAGTGGAAATCTCCTTGAAGGGACCAGAAAACTTTTCATTTGCCCAAGAGAAAATTGAGTTCCAGAGAGGGGGAACATGGCCCCAGGACTGTACAGCAAGATTAGGACAAGGCTGAGTGTAGGATGTGTTCTCCTGAGTACCTACTATAGACTTGCTGAGGATGAGTCCCCTACTCATCTCTGGAGGATGGATTAGAGGCCACATGGAGGAGCTTTGAATTTCATTCACTCATGTCCACAGCCCTGTGAAGCTCACCTCAGACAGGGTGGATTGCTGGATAGGGCAGTGGGACTCAGGCGAACAGTGTCACCGCTTGGGGCCCAACCACAGGGCAGAAGTGCCAGGTTGCAGGACTCCTTCAGAAGAGTGGTTGTCTCTTGCCCTGGGACAAAGAGATAAATAGATGTCTCTTGAGAGCAGGGACCCTGAACATTCTCATTGGCTTTAGTGGCTAACAAGACCATTCCTAACTCCCCAAATTTGTTGTGAGTTCTCCATAATAAAGAAGAGAGAATGTGTTAGTCAGAAGAAATAAAATAAGCATGATTGCATGTGCGTGTTTTTGAGAGAGAGAAAGAGGGGGGATGGAGAAAGAGTGAGGGCAGGAGGGTGAAGGGAGGCAGAGAAGAGAGACTTGAGTCTTTGAGCCTGCTCTACCCCTTCCCCACCTCTCTCTGGTCCTCCATAGCCCCATGCAATAAGGGGGTTCCTCTACTCCTTATTCTTTGGGGCTTGCAATACTTCCAAGAACCAAGAGGACTGACGCAAACCTGCAGCCTCCTTGCCTCTTCCAAATGGGCCCTGGAGCCCCTGGAATCACCAGAGAGCTAGGAGGAAAACTGGGGTTCTTCCTTGCCAACCACACCTCTGTTCCTCACCGCCCCAGGACAGACCTAAGGTGTGGGAACTAATTAAGGGGAGCAGCCCATTGTTCAGGTTTAGTGAAAGGCAGCATGCATAGCTTCCTGCCACCAGCCCCAAATCCCAACTGCCTTTGATGACATGGAAAGTAAGCCAAGCAGAGTGGAGTTGGTTGAAGCTAAAGATGCCAGAAGGCCTGCCCTTGAGTTGTTCTCCTCAAGCTTTCCCTTTATTCTGCTCCAGCTGGAATACACAGGAAAGCTAAGAGGAAGAGATGGCTATTGTGGGGTGGGGCAAGGCCTGCCTTTGGGATATGGGTGTGCATTTGTGTGACCAGACACGAACATATTTGCAGGAAAAGTCTGGTTGGAAATATGTTGTGAAACAAAGATTCACCCTTGGGAGCAATTTACCTGAGATGCAAACAGTGTGGCAGCCCCATGGAGAAATGCCTCGTGGGCTGGGGGAGCTATCCTTCCATCCACCTTGAGTTGTAACTGGCTGTTCCTATCCCTGACTGTCTGCTCCATTTCCAGGGTCCTCTAGAGGAAAATCAGAGCCAGAGCTGCCCCATGCTGGCCTCCATTGCAGCCTGGGAGATAGGCAGTAGACCCCTCTGCAGGGTTCTGTGAGGGGCTGCATTGTGGGGGCTGGCACCTCCTGCCTGACTCTTTGGATATTATCTGTCTGGAATGTCTGCATCATTAATGTTATTTCCCTGTCAAGCTGCCTTGGCCTTGCCCAAGCTCTCCAGCATGAACCTAGCCCTTTCCCAATAAACCTGGAATTTCCCCATCAACAAGTAGAAGGAAGGGCAGTACTCATTTACAGCTGAGGGTACGGAAAGGGTTCTGCATCACGTTGTTTATTGTTCTTCTGTGAAATTTCCCATGGGTTGCCCAGGCTTGGTATAAGAGGGGTATACTGTCAGTCCCCCTCCCCACTGGGTCAGGAGCTGCTTGAAGGCAGGGGCTAGCTTCCCTTGCTTTCCACATCCATGGCACCCAACATAAGTAAATGGCTGGCCAGAAGGCCTCTGACCAGGGCTTCCAGAGAGCCATTCTGAACTAATTGCCTCCTGAAGGAAGGGCTGATTTTGCCTTTATCATAGAAGTCTGGCCTTTAGGGCATGACCTCTGTGGAAATGCCTCCTGCAGAAATGTCAGTTCTGACCACTACTTTCTCTGTTGTGTGTGCTATATGCCAGCACATTACAATTTAAAAATATTGTATCATTATACTCTGGTTTATCTTCAGATCATATAAATCTTTTGCCTTTTACTAAAAATATTGGATCACACAAATACTACTTCATGATATCCTCCTGAAAAATGCAAACATTACAGGTGTAGCTAACAAAGCCCCTTGCCTCCAAAGTCAAGCCACCACAGACCTAACTCCCATGGTTGGCTGGGTGTGGATCCTAGTAAATTCTTGCTCTCACATGCAGATATGTGCAGCTGTATGTGCCCTGGGATTTGTGCACAAGGCCTCACAAAAGCTGCTTCACACAGTATGCTGAGAGAGGGGACAGTCCCCCAAGTCATGTGTGCAGGTGGGAAAAGCTGTAAGCCTCTGGTCATGCTACTCTGCTGGGAAGACCACAGACCTCTGTTAGCCCCAGCAGATGCTGAAACTCAGTATTCCAGGTGTTCTGTCTCCAGTTGGTTTCCTGCAGCTGGAGGGAGGCAGGCAGAAGAAGTTGGCCATGTGGGTGTGGGAGATGAGGGTATATGGAGGAGGGCTGTGTTGTACCTGGGAGCAGCCTAACATCCTAGCTCCTTCAAAAGGAGCCAATGACTAGCCATCTAAGGGTTCTTGCCTACTTTTCCCTCCTGAACCCCCACCTTTCTTGGAGGCCAAGTCCGAGGAGCTCTGGAAGAGAAGAAATGGATTCCCCCCCCCCAGCCCTCCAGGTACCTCTTCTCCCTCCCAGGTTTCTCACTGGCTTGCCCTTGGCCAGGTAGGCTGGCCAGGACGTGACCAAGGCTGGAAAGCAGGAACATGAGGGCAGTGAGCTGGTGGCTTTGAGTCCCCAGATACAAAGCCCCGAGTGATACATGCTCCATGTAAGGGAGGGCTCCTTGGGGAGCTTGGGAGGGGCTGCCTTCTGGATCTGGGCAAACAAGCAGCTTCCACAGCTGGGCAGCTCAGCATCCAGTCCTCATCTGCTGTCAGCCTAGGGTGTGTAGGACCCACAGTGAGAGGTTCAGCTATCTAGACAGCAGGCAGGACAGCTTCTCCAGTGGACAGGTGCCATCCTGGACCAAAGTCTTGGGCTTGCTTCAGCAGTGGACATGAGTTCCTCTGGATCACCACCAGCCTCCCCTGCTGGCATCAGGAAAGATGGGGCAGCTTTCTGACTGGGAGGCTGCCAGCTGTATTGGGGTTCAAAGAACCTACTAACCCAGAGACAGGAGTGCCAGGTGGTCTCTGCTGGCTTCAGGTGCTAATGAGTCCCCAGGGGCTCATCTCTGGTTGGAGGCTTCACAGACAGAACAACGGGTGCTGATCCTGCCTCTGAAGTCATCTGATTGGTGAGGAAAGGGGCTGACATTGGGCTGAGACAACCACTGACCAAGGGCTGACATCTTCCTGTGGCCACAGACCAATGGCTTCTACAGGGTTGGGGCTGGAGCTCATGAAAATGTTCAGGTCCTAGAGCCAGTTTTAACATGAGCCTTCGTGTGTCTGGTCTGAGGGAAAAGTGACGTGTGGAGAACATTTGTTTTTTTGTCAAAGCAGCCAAATGAAATCCTGGGGCTCTAGGAGTATGAAGGCACTGAGCGTTATGCTAGGCTTGTCCCAAAGCAGCTGAGCCTTTGTTTTTTCATAGGAGGGCATTGGGGAGGTGTCTGGTGAACAATTGGAATAGAGGGACCAAGGGGTTACCTGGCCAGGCAGGGTTTGGTGGGAGAGAGGAAAGAGCCTGTGGGCTTCACCACTTGTACCCACCTCCATTGTCTGCCTACAAAGGTTATATCAGGGCATCCCAGCCTCAGAGCATGGAAGTGTGCTACTAGGAGTTCTGTGGCTCTCTGTGTATGAAGAGTAATAGAGATAGGGATGTCGGGTTATGTGTGCTTCTCCTAGAAAGCTTGCTGAAATTGTGGCCTTCATTTTCACCCCTTTGAGCTGCATCCTGGCATCCTCAGGAGAACCTTGAAAGCCTAGGCTTTGGGAGCCTGCTTGTCTACTATTTGGGCAAAGCATCTGTAGAGAAGCCTTTACAGCTACTGATTGAGGGATGATTCTAGAACCAGGAAGAAATACTGGAGTAGGGACTGGCTCCCCATTTTGTCTTTGCAGCTGAGTTTGCCCTTCATCTCCACTTGAGCCTAGACCAGCAATTGTCGACTTCCTCCATGTCACACTGCAGCCATAGGAGGCAGTTATTTCTGGGGTAGCCTGTTTTCTAGATCTTCTGCCAGTGTCTAGGCCTTGCTGTTTGAAGAGCATGGGCAAATTCTTCAACAACATTTGTCAAATGGAGGCTCCAGGGTGGTAGCTGCTTTCTCCAGAGGGGAAGACACTTAGTGCTTGGACTGGGCACATGTACTTCAAGTTGAACCACAACTGTGCTGAGAGAATGTGTACCTGATATGCCCTCAGGTTCATGGTGGCCTCAAAACCTCCAGGAGCAGTTCTGGCCATACTTCACCAGGCTCCAACATGAGATGGCCACATGAAAGATGAGATTGCAAATATGACTCTAATGAGATCTAGAAGTGGTTTGAATGCCCAAGAGCAGAGCTTAGAATGTATTATATAAATGACACCTCCATCTATTCAACAGGTATCTGACACTATCCTTAGTCTTGGGATGCAGCAGGGAATAAGTCCCACCTGGTCCTTGCTCACATGGACATGACCATCTTGTAGGGACAGACAATTAGAAAGTAAATAATTGTCAGAGCATGATA